CTTCCAAAGTGACTTTTTGGGTACTGAGAACAATTTCAGTATTCATAACTACTGCAAGTATTCCTCACTTGATAAAGAAGATGTGTCCCTCAAAAACCACGTGTAAATAATTTAGACAGATATAATTGTTAATGCATTAATGGCTTTTAAAAGAGGTATATAATAATCTTATAAAATATTAGGAGAACATTTTTATGATACTAAATAGGAAATTAGGGGTAGCCAACAGGCACATGAAAAAATGCTCAACATTGCTGATCATTAGAGAAATGCAAATTAAAACAACAATGAGAGGGGCCCTGGCGGTCCAGTTGTTAGGACTATGTGCTCTCATTGCCAAGGGCCTGGGTTCAGTCCCTGGTCGGGGAACTAAGATCCCACAAGATGTGCGGCATGGCCAAAACAAAACAGAACAAAACAATGAGATACCACCTCACACGTGTCAGAATGGTTATTATCAAAAAGTCTGCAAATAACAAATGTTGGCAGGGATGTGGAGAAAAGGAAACCCTAGTACACTGTTGATGGGATTGAAAATTGGTGCAGCCACTATGGAGAATAGTATGGAGGTTCCTCAAAAAACTAAAAATAGAACTACCATATGATCCATCAATTCCACTGCTGAGTATATATCGGAAGAAAATGAAAACACTAATTCAAAAAGAGACATGCATCCCAATGTTCATAACAGCATTATTTACAATAGCCAAGATATGGAAGCAACCTAAGTATCCATCAACGGATGAATGGACAAAGAAGATGTGGTATATATATATATATAAAGGAATATTACTCAGACACAAAAAAGAATGAAACTATGCCATTTGTAACAACATGGATGGGCCTAGAGGGTATTATGCTTAGTGAAATAAGTCAGACAGAGAAAGACAAATACTCTGTTATCACTTATATGTGGAATCTAAAAAATAAAACAGATGTATGTAACAAAACAGAAACAGACTCACAGATATAGAAAACAAACTAGTGGTTACTAGTGTGTGTGGGGGGGCAAGATAGGTGTATGAGATTAGGAGATACAAACTATTATTTATAAAATAAATAAGGAAGAAAAATATATTGTACAGCACTGGGAAACACAGCCATTATTTTGCAATAACTTTAAAGGGAATATGACCTAAAAAATATTGAATCATTATGTTGTACACCTGAAACTAACATAATATTGTAAATCAACTATAATTCAATTAAAAAAAGCAGTATAGCAGTTCCTCAAAAGTTTAAACTGAGTTACCATATGACCTAGCAATTCTATTCCTAAGTATCAATATATGCTCAAGCGAAATGAAAACTTATGTCTATACATAATTTTGTACATGAATGTTAGTAGAGCATTATTCATGGTAGCCCCCAAAATGGAAACCACCCAAATGTCCATCAACTAATGAATGGATACATGTGATATATTCATACAATAATGGAACTTTAGTCAGCCATAAAAAGGAATGAAGTACTGATACATGCTACACCATGGATGAACCTTGAAAACATTACACTAAGTGAAAGAAGCTAGTCATGAAAGACCACAAATTGTATAATTCCTTTTATATAAAATGTCCCGAGCAGGCAAATGCACAGAGGATGCCTAGGGCTGGGAGGGTTGGGGGGAGATGGGGAGTAACTGCTAATGAAGATGGGGTTTCTTTCTGGCATGAAGAAAACGTGCTAATATTGTGGTGATGGTTGCACAACTCTTTGAATATACTAAAATCATTGAATTGTACACTTTAAATAAGGTGAATTGTATGGTATGTGAATTATACTCAATAAAGCTGTTATATTAAAAGAAAAAGAATTAACCAACTAATCAAGATCAGTGAGTCCATGAGATAGTATAAGTTGCAGGAGATAGCAAAGCCTAGGCATTCTCTGTCAATCTGGCACTATCTAACTTTTCTTTGAGCTTAGACTGTGGTGTTTGCTCCCATACTGCCCTCATTTTCACATTCCTAAAGTTGCCTTTGCAATGAGTTTCTTGTCCTCATGGACTCTTTTCATCTCGAGGGGACTACTTTATCCCAGAGGCAAGGAGGATTGGTTAAGTCTTGGACACCTGTTAGAATTCTGGCTCCCTTATGTCTAAGGGGAAGTAACATAAGCTCTGTAAAGGGGACAATTCTAATAGTTACTGCTCAAGGTTAAGCTGAGGATTGAAGATGTAAGGCACATGAAGTATGGAGCGCAGTGCTTAGTATATTATATATTTGACAACACAACCCATCACTGATCTCAGTGTTTCCATCATCCCTTTGCTACCTGACCATACCGCTACTTAGTGAAAGATATGAGCTTCTTGCCCATGACATGTAGCCAGTAACCCCAGGCTTAACAATGTATTCATAAAATCTGTCTAGTTTTTACCCAAAATGTCTTGAACACAGAGGTGTTATTTTTATGTTTCACTTAATCAAAGTTATTCTGAGTACCTAACAGATGGAGAGAGAGAGTAAGATTGGAAGGTTATTCTTTCCCATAATGATGAGACCTGGATAGCATCTCTCAGATATACCCTGTGATCTGGGTTCCCACACCACTTCAGCAGAAAAGACTAAACTAGGAAGAAAGCAGTCAGGCCACCCCAGATTCAAATCCCACCTCTCCCTCTCATAGCTGCGTGGCCCTGGATGCATCACCTAACCTAGCTAAGCCTCAGTCACCTGTCTACAAAAATCGGAAAAATAATCATATGTACCACACAAGGTTGTATAGGGGATTAAATGAGGTAGCACATACAAAGCTTTTGGCCCAGTGCTTGGCAAACAGTAGGAGTCCAATAAATATATATATATTTTTAAGTATAAAAGAAAAAGTAGTTTGTGAAACTTTTGAGAATCACTAGAGAAAACGTGTACTTCAGGTACAGTTGACCCTTGAACAACATGGGTTTGAACTGTGCAGGTCCACTTATAGGTGGATTATTTTCAATAAATATATTGGAAAAATTTTAGGAGATTTGCGACAATTTGAAAAAACTCACAGATGAACTGCATAGAGATATAGCCTAGAGATATAAAAAAATTAAGAAAAACTTAGGTATGTCATAAATGCATAAAATATTTGTAGATGTTAGTAGATACTTGTCTATCCTTACATAGGCATAAAGTGAGTGATATTTAATATAAAATTAATGATGTGTTACTTTCTTACTGTTCTATAACTTTGCTTTCAAAGAATTACATTACCATATAGTACGCCTGTTTTTCCTAATCAGAGAAACTGCGTATCAGCCTATCATCACAGGTAAGTGGTTTTTGAAAAAATGTAACAGAGTTTCCAATGCTGTATTATGAATATGACTGCAATATTGTATGCCATAAAAATTTTATAATGATTCATTCATTAGTGTATAGGCTAGGCTATTATAAAGCAATCATATTGCTGCTTCTTCCCTATCAATGCATGAATTGTGACACCTGTAAATAAACATGAATTTCTTTTTCACATGATCTTTTCATTTTTGATATCAGTAGTAAGAGATGATTAATCTTGTAAACAGACATTAATTTACAGTATCAAGAAATACAGTACAGTATTATAAATATATTTTCTCTTCCTTATGATTTTCTTAATAACATATTCTTTTCTCTAGCTTACTTTATTGTAAGAATACAGTATATAATACATATAACATACAAAATATGTCAATCAACTGTTTATGTTATCAGTAAGGTTTCTGGTCAACTCTTAGTTGACTATTAGTAGCTAAGTTTGGGGAGAGTCAAAAGTTACACGAAGTTACACAAAGGGGTCAGCACCCCAACCCATGCGTTTTTCAAGGATCAATTGTACAAAACTAAAGACATTCTTTTAAAAAAAAATAAATGAAACAAAACAAGGATAGGGTGACCAATGTAGCCCAGTTTGCCCACAATTTTTCCCCCCGAATTAATGGTATTATTTCCATCTTTAACACTAGCAAAGGAGTCCAACACAGACTGACATACGTGGATATAGTTTAGATGTAACAGTGAAACATTTTTTTTTTAAGGGATAGAAGAGAGTTTTATTCAAGCCAAACTGAGGACTATAGTCCAGGAGACAGCCTCAGTAGCTCTGAGGAACTGCTCTAACAGTGAAACATTTGAACTATGTACATTCAGGAAGGAAAAGATTTTTTTCACATCAACCTTTTCCTATTTTGCAGTTTCTGAATAGCAGAAACTAAAGATACATTTCTCCCAATTTAATTTAGTATGAAGTAATATAACTCTTATGATCAATTATTTGTCCTTAAGCATAAAACTTAAGAGATTTTGGCTGCATGGTTGTCTGGCTCCTGAAGTCTGGTTATCGTTAGAACGTAACAAAAGAGCGTTTCCACAAAGCCCTCCTCAACTCCAATTAGAAAATTATTACTTTCATTCAATTATTACTTTCAGTTTTAAAATTGAAAGTCCTGTGTCCTGATAGCTCCCTTAGTCTCAGGCAAACCAGGGAAGATGGTCAGCCTACACAGACACCAAATTTAAGATTTGGGGGTCATTATTAATAACTAATAGCTTCGATGAATGTAGTGCTGACTGTGGACCTGGCACAGTGATACATACTTAAAAAGCCAAATTCCACTTAAATAATTAAAATTACCCTGTGCATTAGGTTTTATTTTTAAACCCATTTTAAAGATAAAGAAATGGCAATTTGGAGAGATTAAAATTGCCTAAACCCTAGAAGGAGGATGGAGCTGGGATTTGAGCAAAGATCCTTTTAAAACTGTGCTGTGCTGTATCCCATTAGGCCCTTGCCCCCAATTACCTCCAATGAGTAAAAGGAGTAGAAAGATTATGGAACACATTTTCCCACAGAGTGAAAATATTAATGGCCTGAAAAGCGTTTTGGTAGCTTCCTTGATCATTATTAGGGAGTTGGTGATAAAAAGGATGCATTTAATATTTAAAGTTGATTTCTTGGATCTCTGCTGGAGGCACAGCATGGGCTGGGCTGGAGTGGAATTGCTCAGGTTAGACTGTTAGGAGGGAACCTACCTCTGCACGTGCACCACATACTTGGTGTCTATGTAGGTGGGCTTCCCAGGGTTCCAGGTGCAAGTCATGTTGCCTGAATATTCATAAATGACACAGGTTACTTTGTCAGGGACATCTGGTGGATCTGCAACAAAATATATCACTTAGGAGCATAGAAACATAAAGTTTTTTATAGTTACTTGATAAACTTGCCATTTTATTTGGAAAACCAGGCCAGTTGGTACACAGCACCTCCCCCATTCCATCCCTACCAGCTCACCTTGCAACCCACTTTGCCCTCAAGCATTGCTACTTTCCTCCATATACTTTACTATATTCTCCCCTCCTTTGGGATACTAAGGTGATCAAGTTCCTCCCATCCAAAAAGAAAATTCCTCTCCAAATTGTCTCCCCTCAGCTGCCAACGTATCTTTCTCCGTTTCATAATAGCTTTTTTTTTTTTTTTAAGTCCATTATACTGGTCTTTTTCCTCAATTCCCATTTACTCTTGAACCCCAAACAATCAAGATTCAGACCTGCAATTCCACCAGAACCACTGTTGTTAAGGTCATCGTGACTTTCTAATCCACAAATCCCATGATTTCTGTGAAGTCATCATTGAGCTTGACCTCTGCAGCATTTGCTATTTTGGTCACTCCCACCTTGAAACCTCTCTGCCTTTTGGCTCTTGTGAAAGGGTTCTCCATGGTGTTTTTCTTCTGCTCTGGCAACTGTCTACTTCTCCAGCACCGATTCCACTACCCACTTTAAAAGTTTGTTGTTCATACATACAATGGAGTATTACTGAGCCTTTAAAAGAAAGGGAATTCTGACATGCTACAACATGGATGAACCTTGAGGACATTATGCTAAATAAAATAAGCCAGACATGGAAGTGCAAACACTGTATGATTCCACTTATAGTAGGTATCTAGAACAGTCAAACACACAGAGACTGAAAGCAGAATGATGGTGTCTGGGGAGATGGGGGAGATGGGGAGTTGTTCAATGGGTACAGAGTTTTGGGTTTGCAAGATGAAAAAAGTTGTGGGAATGGATGGTGGTGATGGTTACACAGTGATGTGAATATACAATATGCTTAATGCCACAGAACTGTGCACTTAAGAATAGTTAAAGTGGTACATTTTACTACAATAAAAAAGATTAAAAATTTTTGGCATTCATAGAATTCTATTTCTAGTTTCCCTCTCTTTTTCCCTTCTCCCATGCCCTCAACTCTTTCTCCGAGTGGCCCTGTTATGGGGAATATTGTTAGTTTTTGTCTGCTACCATCTTTCCCTTTGAGAATTGACATCTCCCTCACTCCCAACCTCCACCCCTATGCCAAGGGCTGTCAATCACACAGAAGTGTACCCTTGACCTAAGCTAACTAATCAGAGTATTTCCCTTGGGAATGAACACATGACTCAAGATGAACCAATCAGAGTTATCCAAGGATCTTCTTCTGGAGCCATTGTAAAAGAGGTGCTTCTCCCCCACTGAAACTGCTATCTCTGAGTAACATGTGAGCTGTGAGTTGTTGATGGCCATCTTGCTGTCATAGTGAAACAGTCTATTTAAGAATGAAGCCAACACAGGGGAAAACAAAACCCAAGAAATGAGAAAAGATGAGAGAGTTCTAATGACATTGTTTGAGCCCTTGGAGCCTCTGAAGCCTATGAAACCCCAGCAACTGTAGAACTGCATCTGGAATTTCAGATGCATCATCCAATAATAAATTACCAAGAATCAAGATAAAAAAAGAAGTATGGAAATACTGAGTGTTTAGCATATGCTCACTTTTCAGGTGTGGCTCTCTCAGCTTGTGCCTACATTTGCAATACTGCCTGGGAAACTTGACGACTCAAAAAATGACAAGAGGGATTTCCCTGGCAGTCCAGTGGTTAAGACTCCACACTTGCACTTCAGGGGGCGTGGGTTCGATCCCTGCTCGGGGAGCTAAGATCCCACATGCCTCACTGTGTGCCCCAAAAAAAAGGAAAAAAAAAAGAAAATGATAATTCTTTCCCATTAAAAAAAAAAGGAAAGGATGGGGGCTCAGAAAGAATAAAAATGCAGACATTTATGCACCTGAAGTTATACCCAAAGCTTTATCTTAAATACAAGTATGTTCTTGCACTTCACCTGTAAATCATCTACCAAGAATACTACTTATAAAAGAAGAAATAAATATATGAAAAATTTATCCTCATTGCAAATTAAACCAATAATAGATGTCATTTAGATCTATCAAATTGGCAAGGATTTTGAAAAATGTTAATCCACAGTATTGGAATGAACTCAGGGAAATCCTCTAACACACTGCTGGTGGGAATGCAAATTGATACAACCTTTATGGAGAGCACTTTACATATCACAATCTTTAAAAGTGGGAGTAATATCTTGCGACCCAGCAATTTTAAATCTAGGAATGCAACCATATTGAAATGTTCATAGATATACAAAAATATTTGGCTAAAAAGGGTTTGCCTCTTAAAGTGTTGTTCCTAATAATGAAAGAATTGGAGACCACCTTAACAACCCAAAATACACTCCTAAAATACATCCAAAAACAAAGTTATAGAAGACAGTTTAAGTATATGGCCTTTGGAAGGCACTAGAAATATGTTTAATTAAGTAAGTGAGTACTGGCCATATGATAAAGTGAAAAAAATAGTATAGTATAGTAGTCTCATTTGAGAGACAAACAGAGAGATAGAGAAGGGGAGAGAGAGAAAAAGACTGAAACTTGAAGACATATTCCAAATTATTAAAGAGGGAGTCTGTTAGTAGTGAGATTATGGGATTATAGAAATGATAAGTATTTCTTTTTTGTTAGTCCAAAATTTTAAAAACTTTCTACATGAATGCAATTTGATTTTACAATTAGAAAACATATTTTCGAGGAGATATGGGGATGTATGTATAGCTGATTTACTTTGTTATAAAACAGAAACTAACACACCATTGTAAAGCAATTATACTCCGATAAAGATGTTAAATAAAAATAAAACTTTAACTTGGCGTTCTCAGAAAAAAAACAAAAAAAAAAAAAACGTGTTTTCAAACAGTAAGAACACACTAAAATGTGTAGTTGTAGTATCAAGTTACAATGGGGAGAAACTGGACTCCAAGTAGGATAAAAGAAATCTTTAAGTTTTCTTTGAGCCTTGAAGGAGGTAGCTGTGGAAACATAAATTTAAATCATTTTGGATATTGATTGAGTTGGGGTCCCTCAGTGATCTGTGCTGAAGTTATTTTTTCCCTCTGGTTTCAGACAGAGTATCACTGATTTGGCCATCCTAAAAGACAGCTGTCAGTCTTTTGGGCTATGTTATTCCACAGCATTCTCTCTGAAGTGTCTGGTAACTAATTAACTTTGCAAAAGATCAAATAGATTATATACACAAATGCAAATATACACACTATTTGTTAGCTATGTAAAGAAGGGAATGTGAATATGGTTATAAGAATAAGACCGAATTGTTTTTAGATCTCATTGCCAGGTTATTAAATGTCCATGGATAAAAACCTTCTGTACAGCCAGATAGCAGAAAACACTCTGCTCTCTCCTACTAATTGCACCTCTCCCCTACCATTGGGTCCCTCACTATTCACAGGCCAGGTTTCTTGTTAATTCAAAGTTTAGCCAAGTATCATTTTCTACTGAGAGCTTCTTGAAGGCACTGTGTGTTCCCCTCTTCTCTGAATTTCTATCGTTTAACACATTTATGGTGCATACCAACCACTTAGTAAAGTTTATTTCATGACTTGATTGGCTTGATTAATAAAATGACAATGAGAAGAATTTAAAATTAAAAGAAAGTCAATACTTCTGGCAAAGATAACTCCATAATTCCTTACCTAAGGAGCACACAGACCAGCCTATTGTGTCACTAATGAGACTTAGTAGCAATGTTAAAGACGAATATTCAGTGCCTTCTAGGCACTGATGACAAGTAGAGATCAAAGATGGTTAAAATTTAAGTCAAAGATATTTAAACTTTTAAATAAATGATTATGTGGATATATGACTTTCATGAATAGTTTAATCTGGTGTTTTTAAATGAATAAAGACATCTTATAGTATTTTATCCCGTGAATGGTGTGACTCTAATAGAATACTTTTCATAATATGCATGCATTTAATCACAGATAAGAATCTAGGAAGTTTTTAAGATTATGGCTAAAAATGAAAACTGTGATAATAATAGTTTGTATTTCACAAATTACACATTAAGGTACAGAACCTTTTTAATATGTTTAGATATCTTTTTAGGAACAGCAACGACTCATTTATCTTCTCTTTGTCTTTTATGATTTGTCTCCAGTTTAAAAAAATACACATAATCATTTTGTTCGGAACAGTGATGATAAGTTGACACAATAAAGCTCACAGGATGAATATCCTGTAATCAAAGTGATCCAGTGAAAGCAATGTGATTTCTAGAATACCACAAAACCCCTCAAAAACCTTTGCTTGACCTACTTAAATAGAAAGTTCTGTTTGCTAAGAGTGCAGAGCCTGAGAACACAGGGGTTCTTGAATCCAGGGGTTTGAGTAAACCCTTACATGGCAGTTACAATTTCACGCTCATAACCAGAGGTCTATGTAAGAAGTTCCAACTCACAAAGTAAATAAGTGGAAAGGATGATGTTCTTTCTAAGCAGCCATCAGCAAAAAGTATAAGTGCTTCTAATATGTTGTCCTAGAAGGGGAGAAAAGGCCATTTCCTGGCCCTAAACATCGCCTGGTGGTTGTGTTTGAGGGCAGAGGGCCTCAGGCAACACAGGGAGAGCGGTTGGCAATAACCTGTCACCCAAACTGCAACAGAGGGAAGGAGGCGTACTTCTTTTGCCTCCTTTCTTACTCTGGCTTTAATTAAAAACTAACCTTTCCACACAACTGTGAAAGTTACTCATTTGCCCTCTAAAGAAATATTCTCTCAACACCCCACCACACCCCCAAAGAAAAAATAGGAAAGTATTTAAGCATGAAGGGTTATTTCTGTTTCCTGAGGATGTGGACAAGCTAAGAAGTCCTTAGACATCAGATAAGATGTCTACTTGTGGTTTCAATTCCTACAATTTAGGGCAAGTTTAGCATGTTAGTATTACTTAAGGCATAAATTTTTTCTTTGACTCCAAAACCTACAATTTCCTTCCTTAGTTGACCTCTACCACTTCCCACGGCTCTTCTCTCTTGAAAATCACAGAGATCAGGAGCCCAGCAGGACGATAGCCTTACTTGAGAACAAGGAAGCCTCTTGCTTCTCAGACATCCCCTCAAGGGGCAGGTGGAGGTGTCCAGGTGGGCTTGCTCTGTCTAGCTGAGGACTGGAGATGAGGAAGAACTCAGATTTGATTCTCAAAAGTATGGAGAAAGGGAGCATGACAAAGACCCAAAGCCCTCTATCTTTCACTGAAAATGGGCCCAGATGCTGTAGGGAATGAACCTCTGGGTTAAAACCGTGCTGAACTTATTGATTTTTCCTTCATAATAGTAGAACCAAGAGTTAAGTGTACAATTATACAAGCCAGTCCATATTACTATAGTAACTTAAACACCTTCAGAATACCATGAACACAAATTGAACTTACCAAATATTTAAAAAATTAACTTAATTAATTTTTTTCTTAATAATTATAATAACAAACACAATTATTCACAATTAGGGCAGTGACATTAGGAGCAGGGAATTGTATCAGAATCTCCCCATGTTTTATCAAAAGGATGCATTTAAGAGGGTTTAGGCACATTAATGTTGTAGTTTAAAGTGTATAATATGCTTTCAAATAAATTATTGAAATTTGATGCTTACCATAGCCAATATAATTAGCCTCATTTTATAGACATGGAATTGAGGCTCAGACTAGTTAAGCAACTTGCCCAAGGTCACACAGCTGGTAAGAAGTATAGCAGGGACACAAAGCTAATGTTGCAAATGTTTTTCTCCTTCCTAAATCTTAGCCTCAAAATTTTTCAATGGGATCTGCTTCAAGGTTGATATTATTGAATAGTTTGGATAACAATGTTAAGTAAAAAACAGATGAGAAGAGCAACAGTGAAAATCTGAGGATGCTGCCCTTCACATATGCTGTGTTTGGCCAGACTAGTGTTGAAAAATTATTTTTTGAATGCATTGGCATACAAACATTTAAAGTTTGTAGAGTTCACATTGAAAATTTACACTTCTGTCTTCTTTTGAAGTGTCCAAAGATCTAGGGATACTGGACCCTCATAGATGCTGAAGCTGGGCAGTGGCTGAGCCCAGTAGACCATCTCTGTGCTTTCCTCTCTGCATGGATCCCACCAGCCTCCTTAACTCACACATTTCACCAGCCTGGCCCCTGGAGACATTTGAATTTGCAACTCCTACATTAAACTAATACAAGAAGTGAACTATATTAATTTGCCTCTATTTTTAGACAAGATTGGTAATTACCAGTTAATTGTTAGCCTAACTTTCATTTGGATTTTGAATGCACCTCAACACTTACATCCAGAAGAAATGTCTTTTCCACATATCAGTGTCTCTTGAAAATATCCAGGACATTCAGCAGTACAGTACATAAAGGCTTGTGGCTCCTGAAAGTTGTTATACCAAAGGCGAGCTGTTGTTTTATTAATTCTTGTGATTTGAAATCTTTCTTTGATGCCATTTTTATAAAAATAAAGTTTCCTTGGTTGGCAGTTCTTAATTGCTGCTTGGCAATATATAGAGATATTCATACCCATCTTAAAAATTGTGGCTGGTTCTACCCAGATGCGTCCAGAGCAGTTTATATTTGTAATTCCTGGAAAACAAATAGATAAAATTAAAAATTCCATGTAAAGCATTAAAACCAGAGATTCAGAAGAATGTGCTATTGCATTTAAAAATTTTTTTCGACTAACTGAATAATTTCCATTGGAAAAGAGTTTTAGGACTCAGAGTATCATTTGTTTAGTTTATCAAAGTGTGTTTTTACCGTGTTCTATTGATGTTCGGCAGCATGACACCAGACTAGAGTCAGCTTTCAGCCTTTAAGTTTCTCTAGCTGTCTAAAGAGCAAATATGATTAGCTCTCCTATTTTAAAGGTGAGGACTGAAACTTTTTGAGTCTACCTCATTTTTCAAAGGTAACATTAGGAATAAGAATTGGCACTGCAGAATCCAAACCCCATTAACCAGCTACTCAGTCTTTCACTCTTTCACCAGCTACTTTCACTTTCACTTGATAAAGGCTACTTTTAACAGAAAACTATGAGTTTAATGAGTAAAATCAGTACTAATTACTAACTGCAAAAATTTATTGCTTGACAACCACTTAAAATTCATCATTTTTAAGTTGAAAAGCAAGTTTCAAAACAACATATTTAATGGAGGCTAAATGTTAAAAATAACTCGATGAATGAATTAAAAAGAAATACACTAAGATATTAACAATGATAATCTCTGTGTGTTAGAGTAATTTTTTATTGTATATTTCTGTGTTTTAAAAATTATATATTATTTTTATAACCAAGACAATAAAGTCATTTTCATAAACTTGAATGACAATGCAATGCAATATCAATTAAATTAAATTCACATCAAGGAAAATTTATTGTAGACTTTTTCTGGAAATACCTGTATCAGAATATCTTAAAACCTTATCAAAATAGTGATAATTAAAGGTCAGTATTTGATTTTTAAAAGTTCTTATCTTTGGAATTCAAAGCTTAAAGAATTAAATTTTGGGGGCTTCCCTGGTGGCACAGTGGTTAAGAATCCGCCTGCCAATGCATGGGACACGGGTTCGAGCCCTGGTCTGGGAAGATCCCACATGCCGCAGAGCAACTGAGCCCGTGCACCACAACTGCTGAGCCTGCGCCCTGGAGCCCGCAAGCCACAACTACTGAGCCCACGTGCCACAACTACTGAAGCCCGCATGCCTAGAGCCCATGCTCCACAATAAGAGAAGCCACCACAATGAGAAGCCCGCACACTGCAACGACCAATGCAGCCAAAAGTAAATTAATTAATTAATTAATTAATTAATTTTTAAAAAAAGAATTAAATTTTTTATAATATAAACATAATTGAATATGGCCATTTATGTAATGAACATTTACATATATGTTATAAATATTTAAATGTTGAGGTAATGCTAAAAATAATTCCATCATTATCAATAGGGAATTGAAGGCAAAGACATGGAAAGAAGTTTTAAGAAAGCATCTGACTGCTTTAAATAAGTTCAACAATTCATGTTCAGACAAACTGCATCTTGAGCACCTTAAAAAATCTGTGAATACTTTCATGAAACCATTGCGAGTAGTGTTTGAGAATACACAGAAAATATCAATTCAGATTTGGACAAATATTCTCCTGGTTTTCAAAAGTGGAATAAAGAAGAACCCCAGAAACACTGGACCACTGAGCTTCACAACATTCAAGAATGAATTAGTAAGTTGATCATTTTTCAGTACATAGAAAAAAATCAGTAATCAGCAGGAATCAACATGGATTATATAAGAATAAGTCATATGAAAAATTGTCAATTTCTCTTTTTAATATGTTAAAATAAGTCATATAAAACATTAATTTCTTCTTTTTAGATTGGTCAGAGGAATGCTAAACATAGTATATTTTTTATTCAGCAAATCTGTTAAAAAGGGGTAAAATATTGTTCTAGTAGAAAACGTGGAAAAGATAGTCTGGATGATATTAAAAATATTCATAGCAGATTGAATAATAATATATAAAATAATTTTTAATGGACAGCTGGTAGGTCTCTGCCACATGACACGGGCTTGTCTTATTTCTCTATGCTTTATATTAATCACTTGGATATATAAACAGAAGTCCTACTTATCATTTGCATATTTCCAGAAGCTGGAAAAAGTAGCTGGTGTCTTATTTTTACTAAATCTTCCTGGATAGCTGTTGGTCTGACTCTGGAAGTGTCCAATATCCTGCTGGAAGGATTCTAGTTCTCAAGGTGGGGCTACTTCTATATCTCTAATATAATGTGTCCCAAACTACAGAAGACAGTTTTGCTTTTGTCACTATTCTGAGTAACTTGCATGATTTGCAAAGCTTCCTTCAAGGTCTAGAACCCTGCCTTGGTGTTGCTTATCTCCTAGTAAATGAATCCCTGTCACCTGCCCAGGATGCTATGCAGAAACTCTCAAATGCTGATGGCTGCCCTGCCTGAACTTCTGATGATCTCCCTGCTGGACTCCTAAAATCTGTGTATGCCTTTGTCATAATGCCAGATGTTTGTATGAATTACAAAATAGGATAATAATAGCACATAATACTACTGCACAAAGGAATACAAGGCTTAGCACAGCGCCTGACACACGGTAACCGTCAATAAATGGTTTGTGGAATTGAATTAAGTTGAAATGTTTGATGAGTTATCGTATAAGTTAAAAATATTCAAAGATAGAATATGCCAACTCAAAATAATAAGCTCCTTCGTGGAAATGTTGGTATAAGAATTAGACGTCTGTCTGTTAGGATGCTTGATAAATGAATCCTGAATTAGTAGGGAGGTTAGACTTTATTTCATTCCACATAATTTTATGTGCATATAATTTTTTTGAATATAATAAGTTTTTATTCTTCAGAGATCCTAGCATAATGCCATGAACATAATAAACACTCAATATTTTATTTGAATAAAAAATAGCAATAGGTACTCAAAACACTGTACCTCCATGACACCAATTGAAGAATATGTAAAGAGCTATTGCCACGTCCCATTGAATTGTGACCTGATTCATGACCAAAAGCAGGAAAAAGCTCTTTGTCGCCCTCTAGAAAAAATATGAAAAATGTTTAAATTGTAACATTTTAATAATATAACAATAAAATACTAAAAGGCATAACATTTTTTCTAACAGTTGTTTTTGATGAGAATAATTAGGAAGAAAAAATGGAAGGAAGGAAGGAAGGGGGAGGTAAAGGAAACAGGGCAAAGGAGTTACTGGAGTGCGAGGAGGTAGAATACAGGTGGAGGAGTAAAGCAAAAGTATGGAATTTTATACCCTCCCAAAATCACTATGAATTACCTTAGTAGGACATTTTGACCCTTGATAAAATATAACTCCTCCTAATCTTGTCTCTCTCATCAGAAATCTCTCTCTGCTCTAACCCCTGATGCTCAGTTCTTTTCCTGACCAGGTTTACATGCCTATCAAGCTTCAGAAATATTAGTCTTTGATAAGTAAAACTCAGGAAAAGCCAAAGATGTCAGAACCTCCAGAAAAAAAAGCATTCAAAATGAAGAAAGAGAAAGTGAGACAAAGGCCTATGTGCTATCACCAGTTAAATCTACAGAAAGCCCTTTTATCTGTAGAGAGTTCAAAAGAAATACCTTATAGAAATGCCAAACAATATTGCCATGAGTTTACAACTGGAGTTACATTATTCAGTTAATCAGTTACCTACATTATTGAATAAATTACTCAATAATCAACATTATTCAGTTATTTTTATCTCTTTAGTAAAATCTGAGCCTTTCATATAAAACAACAAAACTCATGACTCATCAAATAGCACAAGATATCTGATAACACTTTTAAAAACTGGGGTCCCCGTGACTTATGAATATAAGGATCCCTTTCATAATTTGTTAACAATAGTAGGTCTTCATTTTATAAATAATAGGCAAAACAAGACCTAAAATGTTTCTAGTTAGGAGTTAACTACTCACCTAATAGAATATACGCAATAATATTATTTAAAGTGATGTGATAGACAATATTACAGATTCAACTTCCATCAGTAACCACTGTATGAAATACCACAAGAACTTATAAGAGAAGACAACTTGGCCCGTGTATTTCCAAAAGAAAATATAGCTGTTTTTTGAGTATTTAGATGATCGTTGTCTCTTTACCTTTCAACGTGTTTGAAGCACATAATTCCACTTCAGAGCCAGGCTGTCGCCTGTGTCACATCTTCTTTCCTCACTGCCTGCCTGTCAACGATCACTTCAGGTTTTCAGTGATGAGGCAAATGGAAATGTCAGCAAAGCACCGACCTACATTTCAGATTCTCAAAGAGGAACTCAAACCGTCCAATTCAAAACGACTGGCTCTTATGTCACTATTTGGGAAAACCCAGATTACTGAAAGTGAACTGCTTTGTCAGTACTTTTTTTCCCTCATCTTAATTTAAAATAATCTGTCTCAGCCAAGAAGTAGAACACATATATATGCTTTATCTATCAAAATCTTTGACACCAAAGATATGATGCTTAGTTTTCATTTGCAACCAACAGCGATATCCATTATAAACCCATTTCTTAAGAAAAGAAAGTTTAAATGCTACTGTTGACCATTCATGTATTTAACAAGCATTTTTGAGCATCTAATATGTGCCAGGTATTGTTCAGGGCATTAAAGATATAATGGTGATTAATCACAGAACATCCGCTTTATTGTATTGTTTACATGACAAAATTACAGATTAGTGGCTTTGAACTATTGTTCATGGTTTAGCAGGATCCTACAACCAAATAAAATAATTATCAAATTATTTGGTTGGTTTATAGTAAGCATCACCAGGAGACTTCTGCGACACACCTCCTTTTCTTGCCTCCTTATTTGTTGTACATGAATATCTTTTCACTCTTTGTACTCCATTATATTGTAAATGACAATTAATTTATTAATTTCCTCCACAGTGAATTTCTTGAAGTTAGAAACTCCATACTGTCTTTTTAATTTTTATATCTTTTGTACCTAGCACATTAGAATACTCTGGGGGAACATTTAAAACATTCCTATGCTCAAATTTATTGTACCCAATGAAATCAGAATTTCTGTGAGTGGATGTTTGTGCATCGATATTTTTAAAAAGCCTCTCCTGGTAGTTACAAGGAACAGCCAGGGCTGAGGTCCACTGGAATACACGAATAAGAGTGTCTTTGACTATCAACTGGGTTTTAATCACCAGTAACAATTTTCTAAACTGTGAAGGAGAGGGTATGGGAAAACATTTCACATACCAAGAACAGAAGGTGCAAGTAAATTGTTTGGGACTGGCAGGTTGTTTCTCCAGGTTGAAGGGAAAAGGATTTGAGCTGGAAAATTAGGTCAGTGGCAGAATGTAATGGGTTTTGTATTCCTGTGTATTCCTGTCCGTCCTCCCATTCACCCAGCTGCACATTGCCACCTGGCCGTTGCTTGTCAGGCTACACAGCTGAAAAAAAACCAAAACAACAACAACAAAACCCCAACTTCCTTTATCAGAAAGTGTCAGAGATAGCAAAGATTGTTAGGCAGAGAAATACATAATCAAGTTGGATTTTTAGAAAGATAATTCTAATTACTGTGTGAAGAATTGAATGAGGGTAGAGAGTCCAGTTAGGAGGCTATGGAAAATCAGAGTCTGATGAAGGCCTAAGGCAAAGCAAAGGCAGTAAGACCTGAGAGGAGGAAACACACCTGAGAGCTCTGTTGAGGCCAATTCAATAGCTGTGCAGTGAACAACCGCTGTGTGGGGCTAAGAATTTGGGAGCTTAAGGATTGACTCTGTGGCTACTTTTGCTGACTCAGCAGATAACAGCATTAACTGAGCACACAAAAGGAGGAGTGAGGGTGGGGAAGTAATGAATTTGGTTCTGATCATGGTGATTTGGAGGAGCTTACAGCATGTTCAGAGAAGACTGGTAGGATATTGGAGACATGGGTAAACTTAAGAGAGAAGTTTGAGCTGAAGATCTAAATTTAGAAGATTTCAGCATGTCAATAGTATTAAAAGTAAGATTAGAATAAGAGAACTCAAAGAGAACATCCAGGGAGCTAAGGGAAGGGAGTAGGTGGCCAGAACCAAAAATCTTGACCAAAGGACAGAAGAAGAGATACGAGAAGTGTGTGACCAGTGTCAAATTGTCAGAGATTAAATATGATAGGAACTAACAGGTAGTGTTGAATTTAACAAAAGTCTGTCTTCCCTGAGAATAGTTTCAGAAAAGAAATGGGGGCAAAAAGGAGATTGAAGTGAATTAGAATAGAAAATAAAGGAGAGGGCATCATCTAATCTTTCAGGAATTCGGACAGTGGAGATGAGATTAATGGACAGCTCAGTGCAAATCAGGATTCATTTATTTATTTATTTTAATGGGGGCTGGTGGTACTTCTTAACCATCTTTTCAAAGATATTTGCCATGCATATCTCTTTTTTAGTGAACAGTCTGTTCAAATCTTTTGTCCATTTTTATTGGTTTATTATGTTTCTTATTACTGAGTTTTGAGAGTTCTATATGTGGTTTGGAAACCAGTTCTTTATCAGACATACGTTTCGCAAATATTTTGTCCTAGTCTGTACTTTATTTTTTCATTTACTTACCAACATCTTTTGAAAGAAGTTTTTAATTTTGATTAAGTCCAATTCATTAATTATTTTAGTTATTCTTTCTTTTGCTTCTTTGTCCTGTGAGTTTCTGCTTACAATTTTATCAATGGATCAATACGTAATATTGCTTTATGTGTGTTTCTGTTTATGTGTGTTTCTGTTTATATTGTTGACTCATTAACATTGAACTTAGGGCCAACAGCCCTATAATTCATATCTGAACAAAGCTTACGTAACACGGGTGTTCTTTGTAGTGTACATTGCAGACTTCTTACACTTAGGAGCACTAGACAATACTACAGGACTATACTTGGGGGCCATGTTAAACAGCAAAATCACCAAAAAAAAAAGCACAGAATGTGAAAAATGTAGCACTTGATTACAGTATCATGCCGAAACAAGTTTCTTAGCTGGGAACTTGCACATTGTGTGACTCAACTCTTTCGCCACTCTGTAAATCTCAGCAAATGACTGACAAAGTGCTGCAAGTGTTGATTTTGGGGTTACAAATCAATTTTAGTTAGTAAATAAATTCACAAATACAGAATTGGAATGATGAGGATCAACTATATAAAATCTTGTATGTAAATGGTTTGACTTCACTTGCTAATCAGAAAGCATCAAAACCCATTGTCTCGGCTTACTTTCCATAGGCAGGGTTGCCATCTGGGTACCCTGGGACAGTGCAATTTAAACTTGTCCCAAGGTAATTACACATAACACTCCATTTTACTTTCAAAATTATTCCATTTTGGAAGACATCTTGTCACCATCTTACAAGCCTGCAAGTAATAAACCTTGTTTATTTTCTAAAAGTCACACAATTTCAAGTTTTTCTCTAGCATTTGGTAAAAGTTTGGAATGGTTGTTGGCTGAGGGGATGAAAAGGGTGATTGGGTGTAAAATGCATGATCTTGAAAATATATCATATTAAATTAGTAAGTATATTTTGAGTTAACACATACAGGGTAAATACATTTAATGCAACATTTAGCTTTTTTCCAACTTAAAATCCACTTTAGGGAACTTCAGAACAGAAGAAAACAGCTAGAACTGTAGTCCTTATGCAATTGTGCTTTTTTATAAATTTACCTGCCTATTGTGGATTGAAAATATCTCCAGTTTCCCCATCCAGTGGCAACATTGTCATAAACCAACTGACTACTAGAAGGAGCTCCTTGAAGTGGATTGGTTAGGATTTTCCAGTTTAAGAAGTATAGCTGGACCAAGACCTGGAATGTTAAACTGTTGCCTAACAACACTCGTCTAGCATTGGGGAGGAGACCTAGAGGGATCTGTCTTGCCTCAGAACTCAGATGCCCTATATGGGTGGGAATGAGAAGAACAAGGAGTGGACTGTTGATCCCTGAAATGGGAACTTAGTGACTCCCTGACTCTGAATAGAGGTGGAAAACCTACCACCTCTATATAGGGAAGTGATATGGCAGCCCCAACATTTTTAAATAGGCCTGGCTTAGGGCAGATAATCTGGTTAGAGAGGAGGACTAGGGAACTCTTGAATTTGTGCTTGCAAAGCAGGTACACTATTTCTACTTTGATTACTGCGTTTCTTTGAAGTGGCTTTAGTAGGGGAGAATGTCTGAATCATGTGAAAGCTCCTAAGCCATCCCTTTGAAGGTACCACTAAATATGCAGGTCCCATTCAGTAGACCTGATTTGGGAGGCTTAAAGTTTTGTGCCATAGTAATCTAGCAATTCTGTGTGGAAAAAAGGAAATCAATATTATGGAAGGATGGGGAGACTGATGGGTGTTTGGATGAATTGTTTTTTGTAGGAGAGAAGATGACAACGGCTACCAGAGGAAGTCACCTAATATACGGATATGCTCAGGGCAGACATTTGTACATATCTGCACAATTCTTGGTAGCTAGGATACGGTGGTACAGCCCAGTCTCTCTCTACACCGTGTAAAACAGGTGTTCCCATTTGAGAGGGCTTACTGTACTACAATGACTAAAGTGTGACTGGATTCCCTCCTCACTCCCTGCCAGGGGCTAGACATGTATCCACTCTTCCTCCTTGGGCAGTCACAAATCGAACCAAGATGACAGAAAAGGGCCTTTAGAAACTGCAGCACAAAGATAAGACAGAGGGCTTCTTTTTCCCTAGGCAAAAAACAGGAGTTATGCTTTGAAGCAATTCCCCAATTCATAGTAGAATAATAGTCTAATTGTTTAATAGACACTTGGCTAGGAAAGTGGCTTCCTCCTCCCAATTTCTTCTTTAAACATTCAAAAGAGAGGCAACTGCATGGGTGGGCCCCCCAAAATTTAGGATGAGAGAAGAAAAGCCCACTGTGGCTGTGGATGGACTTGTGCAGGGGCAGTGAGCCACTCCTCAGGTCTATTTAAGGTGGTTTCTGTATATACTGCAATAAGGGGCTTGAGCCTGGAGTGAAGAACCATTTTGCACTCTTCAATATACTGACGTTTGCATGTGCAATTGAAGACTTATTTGGATAATTGACTGTGTCACCCTGCCCTTCTATTGTTACAGGCCTGATAAAGGGGCCTTAAGTGCCTTCTGTGTGCCAGCATAGACTGGCTAAGTGTTGTGACTACAGAAGAGGAT